AGCAGGCTTCCCGCCGAGCAGGGAGCCCGATGCGGGGCTTGATCCCAGGACCCTGAGATCATGACCTGAGCCGAAGGCAGACGCTCAACCGACTGAGCCACCCAGGCGCCCCTCAATCAAACTATTATTAAAACAACAACAACAACTTGGGAACCACCAGAGAGATATAGCCAGATTCCAAATAGAGGTATATTTGTAGGAGACCTTGCAAAACATAAACATGCAGTTGACTCTTGAATAACACAGGGGTTAGGGATGCTGATCCTACCACTCAGTCAAAAATCCATGTGTAACTTTTGACTCCCTGTAAAACTTAACCACTAATAGCTTACTGTTGACTAGAAGCCTCACCAACCACATACACAGTTGATTAACACATGTTTTGTATGTTACATGTATTGTATGCTGTGTTCTTATAATAATGTAAGCTAGAAAAAAAGAAAATGCTATTAAGGAAGTTATAAGGAGGGGCACCTGGGTGGCTCAGTCAGTTAAGCATCCAACTCTCAATCTTAGCTCAGCTCTTGATCTCAGGGCTGTGAGTTCAAGCCCCACATTGGCCTCCATGCTGGATGTGGAGCCTACTTAAAAAAACAAAAAAACGACAAAGGCCAATTATATAATCAATTCATGAAGACCCATGAGTCAAAGAGGAAGTATCAAAGAGACTTAGAAAATATTTTGAACTGAATGAAAACGAGACCTTTTTTCTAACATGAGCAGTTAATGCTATAGCTTTCTCTCTGCACACTGAGGCGTTTCACAAATGTTTTGGATATGGTCTTTTAATTTTTATTCAGTTCAGATTGTTTCCACTTCGTAGCTATTATGAAGAATGCTGCTGTGGGCATCCATGTACAAGATTTTGTGTGCCATATGTTTTCATTTCTCTTGGGTATATGTGAACCAAGGGGTGCAATTGCCAGGTCATATGATGACATTTTGAGGAACTGCCAAACTATCCTCCAAAGTGATCATCATACACGGTTTTAACCATGTAAGAGGAGAAAAATAGTCTATTATATGTACCGTATATAACCACATATATATATATATACACACACTATATATATATTATATATTTACTATGTATATTATATATTTATGTAACTAAATATTTATAATTTCTATTTTTTTCCCATTCTTTTTTTTTTTCCTTAAGATTTTTCTTTTTAAGTAATCTCGACCCCCAATGTGGGGCTCAAACTCATAACCCTGAGATCAGGAGTCACATGCTCTACCAACTGAGTCAGCCAGGCATGCATTTTTTTCATTATTCTTGAAGTTCCAAGTTTTCCTTTGGGACCATTTTCCTTCTATGTGAAAAAAAACCCCAAAAAACAAAAGCGCTTACAATAGGCCTGTTGGCAGTGAATCCCCTTTGTTTTCTTTCATCTGAGAATGTCTTTATTTCACCATCATTCTTTTTTTTTTTAAGGTTTTATTATTTTTTTAAATTTATTTATTTGTCAGAGAGAGAGTGAGCACAAACAGGGGGAGAAGCAAGCTCCCTGCCCCATGCGTATCTCCATCCCAGGACCCTGGGATCATGACCTGAGCTGAAGGCAGACGCTTAACCGACTGAGCCACCCAGGTTTCCCTTCACCTTCATTCTTGAAGGGTATTTTTTCTGGATATTCTGGGTGGCAGTTCTTTTCTTTCAGCCCTTTAAAATGTTCCACAGCCATCTGGCCTTAATGGTCTGATGAGAGGATCCAGGCATTTACATAGTTCTCCTTTTGTGTAATGCATTTTTCTCTGGCTGCCCTCAAGATACTTTGTCTCGGTCTTTCAGCTAGTTGATTACAATGTGTATGGGTGTGGGTTTCTTTCTATTTAACTTGTTTGGGGTTTGTAGAGCTTCTTGAACCTGTAAGTTTCTGTCTTTTGCCAAATTTGGAAAAGTTTTCAGACATTATTTCTTGGAATAATTTTTTTTGCACCATACTCTTCGTCCTTCCTTTATGGGACTTTGATGACACAGATGTTACACCTGTTGATATTGTCCCATAGGTCCCTGAGGCCCTGTTCATTTTTTCCAGTCTTTTGTCTCCACATTGTTCAGAATGTGTGGTATAATAAAAATATAGGTTTGGTCTTTATCCCCAGATCCTGACGCAGAGTTCCTAAAACCCTTAGAGTTTCCCAAGTGATGGGAGTGTCTTTTGTTATTCGTAATGAACATCTTTTCAACCATACCTGAGTATATGCTAATAAAATGACTCAGTTTGGGGCTCCAGCAGGCTTCAGGATGGCCTCTCATTACCAGAAAGACCAAACATGAGTAGAGGATGGGAACTTTCAGCCCCACCCTCTCCAACCTCCAGGGAAAAGAGAAGGACTGGAGATTGAGTTATAAAAACTCTTGAACAGTGTTTGGTGAACTTCCAGGTTGCTGGGCACATCAGTGTGCTGGGAATGTGGTATGCTGAAGAGAGTATAGAGCTTCCACACCCATACTTTGTCCTATGTATCTCTTCCATCTTTCTGAGCTGCCTTTTTTAAAAAAAGATTTTATTTATTTATTTATTTGAGAGAGAGAAAGAGCACAAGCAGGGGGAGTGGCAGAGGGTGAGGGAGAAGCAGGCTCCGCAGGGAGCCTGACGTGGGGGCTCAATCCCAGTACCCCACCAGGATCATGACCTGAGCCAAAGGCAGATGCTTAACCAACTGAGCCACCCAGGCATTCCTCTGAGCTGCATTTTTTATAATAAATCTGTAATAGTAAATATAGTACTTTCCTGAGTTCTGTGAGTCATCCTAGTGAATTATCAAACTTGAGAGTGGGTCATATGAACCCTGAAATTTGTAATAGACTGGATAAAAGTGTGGGTAACTGGGCATCCCATTTGAGACTGGTGCCTGAAGTGGAGACAGTTTTGTCAGACTGAGTTCTTTAACTTGTCGGATCTGAGACTAACTCTGGGTAGATTTGGAACTCGGTTGAATTGTTGGAAACCCAGTTTATATCAGAGAATTGAGAATTGGTGTGGAAGAACCACACATGTGGTATCTGAAAATACAACACAAATTGGATAATTTCTTTTTTTTAAATTTTTTAAGTTAAAATTCAATTAATTAACATATAATATTAGTTTCAGAGGTAGAGGTCAGTGATACATCAGTCTTATATAATACCCAGTGCTCATTACATCATGTGCCCTCCTTAATGTCCATCACCCAATTACCACATCCCCCCCACCCCTTTCTCCTCCAGCAACCCTCAGTTTGTTTCCTATATTAAGAGTCTCTTATGGTTTGGGGCGCCTGGGTGGCTCAGTCGTTAAGCATCTGCCTTTGGCTCGGGTCATGATCCCAGGGTCCTGGGATAGAGCCCCACATCAGGCTCTCTGCTCCGCGGGAAGCCTGCTTCTCCCTCTCCC